CAAATTTTACTTACATAAAAGTTGCACCCAGGTGTTGGCTTGAAAACGTAATTGACGGAATTTGCCTATCTCATTCCCAAAAAAAATGGTAGCCATTTCCGCAACCTTGGTTAGCAAAGGCTCCAGTTAATAAGAATTCTCATTTCATAGCCAGAATTGTGCACCGGGCAACATAGAATGAAAAATACATTACCTAAATTATGTTCTATTTCTCCAAAAATATCATGCTTGTTTCTAAATGATCCCTTTATTTTTCAGGTTTTTCATTATCTTTTTCTCTTATAGAAAATTCACTTGACCCTATTAAAATGGTGAGACATTATAAGCCCACAGGGAAAGAAATCGTATACAACTGCTGAAATGAAGGTGGCAGTAGACAGTGTAATTGTCAATGGCATGATCATTAAAGATGCAGCGCAAATACATAATGTGCCTCGAAATACGCTGCATAGATATGTTGAAAAACGCAGGACTGCAGTGAATGCAACTCATGACTTTCTTCATATGATTGACCCAACATCACTTCTTGCGCATGAAGAAGGGATCATTGTCCAAAACCTAGTTGTTTTGGCTGATTGGGGGTGCCCTCTGACCCATCTTGAGATACAAATGATTGTAAGGGACTTCTTGAATAAGAGTGGCAGGAAGGTCACCACCTTCAAAAACAATCTGCCTGGCATCGACTGGGTTAATAATTTTATTGCCCGATACAAGCACTTGCTCTCTACGAGAATGTGTCAGAATATCACCAAAAAAAGGGCAGAGATCTCAACTGAAGTCATCAACAAGTTTTTTGGCAACATTGCCCATGTGCTGCAAGGCGTGCCTGACACGAATATCATAAACTACAATGAGACAAATTGCACCAACGACCCTGGGAAGTCCCAGATGATTTTCAGGGAAGGGATTAAATACCCTGAGAGGGTGATGAATTTCAGCAAGACCAGCTATTTGGTGATGTTTGCAGGCAGTGCTGCAGGGGAGCTCCTTCCATCTTGTGTAGTTTATAAAGGTATGAGATTAAAAGAGACATGGACCAAATGAGGCCCTCATGGCTGTCACTACAATGTTAGTAAAAGTGGCTGGTTTGATGCCGACACATTTTATGATTGGTTTAAAACTCTTCTGCTGCCCTTCTGTAAGAATTTGGAAGGTCACAAAGTGTTAATTGGAGATAACCTCTCCTCTCATCTGCACCAGGATGTTTTTGCAATGAAAACAACATAAGCTTTGTCTTTTTGCCAGCCAACGTAACGCATCTCATGCAGCCACTGGTTGTGGATTTCTATGGGCCATTGAAAAGGAAATGGCACAAGACCCTTACAAATTAGAAGAAAACTTTTGGCAAGAACATTGCAACACTCCCAAAAGACTAGTTTCCATGCCTCCTCTCTAACCTCTTGCACTTGATCAACAAGGAAGTCAAGCACAATATGAGCATGGGCTTTCAAGCCACAGAATTGTACCCACTTGACAGGGAGCGCGTGCTCAGGAAAGTTGGCAGAGAAACCACGCAAGAAGATATTGAAAATACAAGGAACTTCATCTCGGATGCTGTGCTTGAGAAACTCCTAGAAATCCGCTCACCACCCACTGAAGCCAATAATGCATCCAAACGAAGAAAGGCTATCACGCTTACTCCTGGAAAGTCCCACACTGGGCCAAGGGCCAGTACTTCAGGTTCAGCAACAACACAAATCCAGAAGAAGCAGGGAGCAAGTGTGAGGAAAGTGTTACAGTTCGACAAATATTCAGATGATGAGGAGAATGAGCTTGAATCAAATGATGGAACTGACCTTGCTGTTGCTCAAGACATGGCTGATCCTCAAGACGGGATGCAGGAACCTGACAAGGACATCTCTAAAATCATCGTTAATGAAGATGATTTTATCCTTGTTAGGTTTGAGTTAGATGGAAGGGTACAACGTGAGAAATTTTATGTTGCTCGCGTGAGAGAACAACCGCAAGACAATGGCTGCGATGTCATGGTTGAATTCCTAAAGAAGAGCAGTGATACAAAAAAGATATCATTTGTCTACCCTGTTCAGCATGACATGGCTGCTGTTGAACGAGAGAACATCAGGCTCAAACTGAGGGAAGCATGTTTTTACTAACACGATGCTCAGCAGGTTGGCTGATACCGGGAGCCTTGGTTAGGCATACTCCATAAAAACATGTAGGCACCAGCACAGTTTACTTCTAAGTTGTTAAGTTAAGTGCAAACATTAATGTATGAAAAGGAAGTTCTTCTATTTGTTTTGAAAGTTTGTGTTATAAAAACAAAATGGAAAAAATAGTTATTGTTTCTGAAAAATGGATTCATATGTATAGGAATAAAGGAAAATTGGGAACAAATTACAGAAAACATCTTCTATTTTACATCTACATCATCAACAAATGAAGAAGAGGACTTCAGAGTATTTTTTGTAATGGGTGAGTACATTCTGCATGCTGTAAAAGTCTTAAAATCAAGTTTTATTGCAAGTGTCCCGAGTAGCCCCGTTTGACAGGGCTACTTGAGACACTCTTTTTTTTTGCTTCTGGTACCTTACGAATAGCATATGGAATTTTTTGACAATGCCATTCGATAGCCCTTGCAAAGAGCTATAAAATGAGCCTAAACTTGTTTATGAAATGTTTCATCGTAAGAAGTTATTAACAGTTATTAACAAAACAATGCTCAATACTGTCCCGAGTAGCCCTGGTTGACGGTACCTCAATTGAAAAAAAAAATAGCGGCCATTTCCGCATGGCGGGGCTACTCGGGACACCCCCCTGGGGTGTATTCGGGACACCCTCAAAAATGCATTATATATAACAGTAGAACCTCAGTTAGCAAAGGCTCCAGTTAAGAAAAAAATTGATTAAAATCAAAGAATATTGATTACATTTACCTTGCTCAGTGAAAAAATTTCACTTATCAAAAAATTAGTGCATCATTGGTCATCACAAAATTGTGCATAGAATGTCATATATAGAATTGTGCACCAGGCATCATAGAATGAAAAGTAATTGACCTAAACTATGATTTATTTCTCCAAAACATGATGGTTGTCACTAAAACATTCTTTTCTGTTTCAGGTATGCTTTTCACAATCTTTTTTTAGTAAATTCACTTGACCCAATTAAAATGGTGTGAAATTACAAGCCATCCTGTAAGCTTACAGATACAGAAAAAATGCTATAAGGCTGCTGATATGAAGCTTTCAGTGGACAAGGTAGTTAAAATGCTCAATGGCCTGTTCATGGATACGGTAATATTGCATCAATAATACGGTAATTAATGTATATGGTAATATCATATCAATAAAGGAAAAAAAGAGTAAAAATCACAGAAAATGTCATTTATTCTACCTCTACATCATCTACAATGAAAGAGGAGGACTTCAGAGTACTGTTAGAGTGTTAGTAATGGATGAGTACATTCTGCATGCTTCAAATGTTTTAAAATTAAGTTTTATGCCAGTTGTCCCGAGTAGCCCCGCTCGACGGGGCTACTAGGGATACTGGATACCCTTTTTTTGCTTCTGGCACCTTACGAATAGCATCTAGAAATTTTTTGGAGAAGCCATGTGATAGCCCTTGCAAAGAGCTTTGAAATGAGCCTAAACTTGTTTATGAAATGTTTCATGATAAGAAGTTATGAATGAAAAACGTTCAAAATCATCCCAAGTAGGTAGCCCCGGTTGACGGTATTTGCCAAAACCTGTCTTTTATTAGAAGGCACCAATCTCAAAGTCAAACCATGTTGATTGTTGATTGTCATCTTCTATTCTTCAGTTTTGTAAATCATGTCCAACTAAATTGAGATCTATGAATAAATATTCATAGCTGCGGCAACTCTTAGAACCTGGGTTACCATAGTGGCAAACCACAGATTTTTTAGAATCAGTTCAATTTTAATTTCCTCATTTACCCAAGATTTAAATCACTTTCTTATGTATGATACTGCTGGTATCAAGGATACTTTACTAGTCTACTTATAGGACTCACAAATGAACTTGAGGGAGAGTCTAAAAAACTCTCTGCTTTGCCACTATGTGGGTTACTACGTAACTACAATATAAATCTAGTCAACTTGATGCAGATATGTTTGTGCAAGATGGCGGGCATGGCGCTGCTGTGCATTAATCTTTAAACAACTTTAGGAGCTAAGGAGCATGGCTCATTTTTTTACCAGAATATTATGGCTCACGGCGCACATTTATGAAATGACATTATAAATTCCCATGCTCAGGCCGCGCACCTGGCAGGCTAGCACATCTTCCTGACCATGGGCCATGGGCTGGGCCAATTTTGCCTGTTACTGTGGTTTTTGACCAATTTCTTCAGTGAATAGGTTAGGTTAGGTTAGGTTAGGTTAGGTTAGGAGTTTCACTTTCACCTATTTCCACCTGTGACTTTCTTAGAACACCAGTAAAGCATAAATTTGATGTGAAATCTTATTTACTGGCAATTTCAGAAAATTTCAGCACAATATTCATGCTAGGTTGTCCAGTTGAAATGTTGAAGAACTACCATTTCCAAATTCCAGAATTGGTCATAAATTTTAATAAACAAATTAAAATGGTGTTAATAGATTGATCATGTTCATTATAAGTATCAAACATGATAGAGCAAGAAAATCTCAATGAATCTCAAGTTTCAGGCATTTCTCAGTTCAATTACTTTTCTGTTTTTGGTGTGAATCATCAAGTCATTCAGGTGATGAATTCCTAATCCTAGGCAATGAATGACTCACAGACATTCATCACCAGAGCCTGGAAGAAAATGAAATCCTTCATCATTTTCCTTCTTTTAACCTGTCAATTTCACAATATGGACCACGAATAAGTCAGCATTTATCAGAAAATGATAAGAAAATACTCAGAAGTAATTTTTTGCACATCAGTGAGAAATTGTCACGGAGAAGGGGCGTGACATGAAGGGCTGAAAATACCGGGGGACATGCATACAAATAAAAAAAATTATCTAATAGATCAAACAAATATCACACTTACCGCCTTCAAGGCAGCAAGTCTGTCTTTTGTCATGGCGAAGGTATTTCACTCCAAACTTGTCCACGAAAAACTGTTATCACTGAAAGACTCACGCTATGATTCACATCCCACTTGAGTCACTGGAACACTGACTACGAATCGATAGGGTGCCAAACACGAGTGCCAGACTGCGCGCGCATGTAATAATAAATTCCTAAAACAGAACCCAAAGGCTAGATTCAGGTTCAAATAAATTTTCAGATCACGAAAAAATATAATCTATAGGCAAATATGCATAAATTACGTATAAGGTATACATTCGCGGTTTAATCGTAATCATTTCCACAAATACATGTTCAGATATTCCTTCCGGAAATCCATTCATTCATGAAAACTGATTCAAATTGTTTATATTAGTATCAAAGATTCAAACAAAGCGGTGACACTGAATACTCGGCAAAAACGATATTATAATGGCTCAGTTTCAATAGAGGCGTTGCGACAAGCACACGAAACGTATGATAACATGAGGAGACTTTGTTCGAATTTCGATGGGACTCAGGGGGCTGCCTTACTATAATAACTTTATTGCATGCTTTTAAAGACGTCTGCACTAGAGAAATTTGTTCCTAACTGATTAAAAAGTCAATTACCTAGTCCAATTCTCAGCAAGACGTCGTTTTATGTAATTTAGTATCAATTCTACTAAGAAACATTCAGGTACGGAATTGCGAGTTTTTATAAATTCACCAAAGGCTTTCCAGCGAAAAATATCTCTCATAGCCATAAAGGTAATCTAATAATGAACTAATAAATTTTATGTTGCGGACTTATTTCGTCTATAAGCTCGGTGACCCACATTCTAGACTTCAGAAAATTAAATACTAGACACGAGAATTTTCAACTTCCACTCGCTGGGACCGCTATTGATTCCTTCGGCCTATGAACATTATATAGTATAGTATAGTATAGTATTATATAGTATCTTCGGCATTGAAGAATAGGCCTGGATAGGCCTATCGTCGATTCTTGTACTTTTCTTGACTAGACTGGCCTTTTGATCAAATCCTTTCAATGGACGGTAGATTTAAAATCGCTTCTAGATTTCAGTTGTTTCGTAGGATACGAGGCATTTCAAGACAAAACATATGCTCCTGCATGGCCTTGCCTAGTCTTTTCTCGAACGCGTTCATACTCGGAGCGTCAAAAATATCTTCAGGGAGGCTGTTCCACATATCGGTGACTCGAAGCGAGACGAAATGTTGTCGCGTGGATAAGTTGCACCGCAGTTTTTTTAGTTTATAGCTGTGGCCCCTGATGTTGGTTCTTGTTTCAAATTCTAGTAATCCTTCTGGGACCTTGTACAAACCATGAGCATACTTGTAAACTTCAATGAGGTCACCACGCAGGCGACCATAACGGAGACTGGGAAATCTTCATAATCTTCAATCTTTCTTCATAAGACTTGCCCTTTAAGCCTGGAATTATCCATGTTGCACGTCTTTGAACACTCTCAACTAAATTTCTGTCCTTTTCAAGTCTCGGTGACCACACAACGTTTCCAAACTCTAGGTTCGGGCGCACGACAGCGGAGAACAACAGCTTCATCATTTCTATATCTAGGTACTCGTAGGAACGTCTGATCAGCCCAAGCAGTTTATTGGATTTATTAACTTGTGTTTCAATATGCCTAGAAAATTTTAGCTCCTTGTCGACTCAAACTCCGAGATCTTTTTCCACGCAAGACTTCTCAATCATAACCCTCTCGTTGCAACCGCGTTTTCTCATGCTGTAAGCTTGCTGTTCATTGTTCTTGCCGAGGTGAAGTACTTTACACTTGTCAGCATTGAAACGCAGCTGCAACGCATCAGCCCAGTCAACTAACTATCAAGATCATTTTGCAGTTGCATTTTTTTACGCATCCTTAACTGTATTACAAACTTTTGTGTCATCGGCGTTTACCATAGTTTATATAGTTTACCATAGTTTATCACGAATTTCTAGAGCTCCTTCAACTTCAAACATTCCATGCTGAGGCAGTCAAAGTCCAAATTACTGAAGAATTACCCATTTCAGCTGAGTTTTTGATGATACAAGATATTTCAGCCGTGTTTTATGGACGGATTGAGGTAAGTATCACATAAAAATAAAAAATAACACAAATGCATATAAGGCTAACTCTGCTAGACATTGCTTAATGAGGATGCCGTTTGCAAAGGAAGAGGAAGGTCCGGCAACGCAGTCTATGACTATCCGGGATGCCCCTCGTTGAGATCATCCCATCTCCCTGCCCTGCTGTAGCTAGGCCACTACTACTAAAGCAGTGGTTCTCAAAGTGGGCGATATCGCCCCCCTGGGGGCGGTGGAAAGATCTGAAGGGGCGGTGAGGAAGAAATGGGTAGTGGGGGGCGGTAGTCCGCGTAGTCAAGTCAGAAGTTCGCACGTTTGTTTGACGATTTGTGCACAACAAGTGCAGAACATGACTCCGAATCTAATAAATTTTCACGAGCTAAAAATTACCGTTTGGTAGATAGGAATTTATATTCAAATTTTCGTTCGAATCTGTTCAGTAGTTTGGAAGAAATTCTTTGATCACTGCGAATTACGGCCCATATCGCCATATAACTCCTGAATGAATGTGAAATTAAAAAATTTGTTCGTGAGCTAAACATCACCGTTAGGCCCTAATGAATTCGTGTTCCAAGTTTTATCGAGATGCGTTTATTAGTTTGAGAGATATTCCTTGGTCACTGAATTTGGATTTTGGCCGAGAGACTGGCCACGAGTCCGGCCGTAAATTTGTCTGAGTCGTCTTGAATTTCTAGTGCTGTAACAGTTCAAAATGTAAAAAAATATATTGTTTTACTAAATGGAGTTCTATTTGTGAAATACACATTTGTATTTAATTAACCTTTCTCTTCAGGCGCCAGCCTGAAAAAGTTTGGGAACCACTGTACTAAAGCATTCAATAGTTTAATCAGGTTTATTTGTTTATTTTATGGGGGCTAACGCCCCCCCATAAAATATTCGAAGCACCCCTGAACAATTATATTTTAATATATTAGAATTATTATTATTACAGAAAAAGACAGACATCTCATATACAGTAATACAAGTCACGAAAAGCACATGAATCGGCAACAGGTCATGGGCGTATTTCTTCAGTGCATACACTTCTACTTTATTCTAATACTACATGAAAGTAATTTTATATAAATCAGTCATAATTTACTTGAAAAAATTATAAATCTTAAGGGGCTTAGCCCCCCTCCCCTCTCTTCAAAGCCTTGTGAGACCGCTAATAACATTGCAATTTTATTAGGCATTTCTACAAATATACTGTAATTCGACTTTGAACGTCGTAATGCAGCAGAGGAATAACTTAATTTCAAGAACAGAGGGGTGGGGGCTAAGTCTCAAAGATTTGTTATCATAATTATGTTAAAATGATTGGTTGTGTGATTGGTTGTTCATTGGAACCCATATTCAAGCCTCAATGCATTGAATTCGTCATTTTTTCCGAAAGAACTCATAATTAAAGGGAATGAACATTAAATTGTTTATGGGACTTAAGAATATTCTTGAGTGGCTGAAGGGTCCCTAAAATAGGCCGGATGTCGCCATTGCAATGCAGTTTTCACGTTGATTAACTTCATTGTCCTGGCTCTTCACAGATATATTCTGTGAAATTTGTTGTGTCTTTGCAGCTGGCGTATTTCCTCCCTAGGCCTTAAGAAATTCATCAAAGGTTGTCCTGCGAATAGATCGCTTTAAATCCTGTTGATGATATAGTTGCGAGAGTTCAATGCATCGAAATTGTTTTCTCTATAAGCTTAAACTTGAACTGAGGACGCATAAAGCAGTCTCAGCTATGAAGTGGAGCATTGTACGTAAAGCTTTTGGCCACATCCAAGTAAAACGTTCTACATAGATCAAGGACTGTTGCAAAGGTTTGAAGCCGCCTTTATCCATGTGCGATGCCTCGACTTTTTGTTATTTTAGTGCTCCTTCACGGAGCATATCTGATGCTCAATCTACTTAATGTCATAGTGAATTGAGTCGGGAAATGAGAGACGTAGATAAGTTTGGGAGGAAGAGAAGGGACAGGTAAGAAAGGTAAAAGAAAAGGGCTCAACAAATAAAGTAGTAATAGTAAGAGAGGTAAAAAAAGGGCTCAACAAGTAAAGTAGTAATAGTAAAAGAAGGAACAGGTAAGAAAGGTAAAAGAAAAGGGCTCAACAAATGAAGTAGTAATAGTAGAGAGAGAGAGAAAAAGGAGAGGAGACGGATGTGATAAGATAAGAAGCCCTTGACAACAACCAGCGCGCAGCCACGGAGCTCATGTAATATCGCTCATTGCCACGTCAACTGGCTGGTCTGTTGGTGGTGTCGAGCGTAGCTGCTGAAGTTGACTCGGCATCAACAGTGTTCAAATCTGCGAACTCAGCTTGACTCACTTTAATTCCTGCTTTGCAGCAACAGAGTTGAGATCCGCCACCTCGTTTCCTACACGTTTCGTCAAAAACGATGGATTTCTCTGGGAAACGTGCTTTGGTGACCGGTGCAGGTGCAGGAATTGGTCGTCAAACGGCCTTGCATTTGTCCAAATTAGGAGCCAGCGTTCCTACTTAGCGACAACAGCACCATGGTTAACGGCCATAACCTGCCTGTGGAGGGGGGCTGGCTGTGCGGCATGAATTTTTTGGCTGATGGGCATGAAAATTAGTACGTGGGTATTTTTGAGTTCCCTGGAAGACCATGGAAAAAGGATACTCGAGCTCCTTTGATGCTTTTTGGGTGTAAGATAATCAGTTTTGATAAGTTTTAAAAATTTAACGGTTTATGTAAAGAGTCATCTTCCCCCTAAAGTCTTTCAAGTCGTTTAGAAATGATGAGCTACGAACATGGCCGATTAGAACTACGAAAATTACCAATTGGAACTACGAACATTATCAATTGGAACTACAAACATTACCGATTGCAACTACTAACTAACATAACCGATTGGAACAGCGAATATTACCGATGGGAACTACGAACATTACCGATTGTAACTACGAACATTATCCATTGGAACTACGAACATTATCCATTGGAACTACGAAATTTACCAATTGGAACTACGAACATTACCGATTGGAACTACGAACATTCCCCATTGGAACTACGAACATTACCGATTGGAACTACGAACATTACCGATTGAAACTACGAACATTGCCGATTTGAACTACGAACACTACCGATTGGAACTACGAACTGAATGTTGCATGATCATCATGAAAGCGTCACGTTAACCTGCAGAAGACCTGAGCTATGATCGCACGATGGAATTTCATTCTTCAATGGTAACTAATTTAAAAAAAATTGTTGACTCATTTTTAATTATTAATAGTGAATTCAGTGTTGGGTAGGCTAGAGATAACCTTTCGGTGATTCATGACATCGCAGAAAATTGCTGCTCCCTTGAATTTCGAAGCCGCAACTCACTACTCTAATCTTGCTTTATCAACCACCCGGCTAACGGCTTATTATGACCAGAACTGTTACAGGAAGCTCGGATCGAACCCACAACTCACTGTTCCCGTCCTGCTATTTTGAACTGTAACATTTGGCCACCCGATGTAAATTGAAATATTTATTGTTGTTAATTTGTTAATATGTCATTGATGAATTATATATTTCCTTGCGACCTTCCGACTTCATCGAGACTCACGTTTAAGTGTTACGGTTGCGTAAATGTTGATAATATACTCGTATACAAGCAATATATTGTCTATAATCAACCTCATTCATGTTGCAATGTTTACAGAAAGTAGTGAATTTTGTAATCAACTAACTTTATAATGAAAATTTATTATATCTTCGATAATTTTACCGTTAGATTATCCGAACATAATTGTTGAATAAAAACGTGTTACAATTCCGTATTCCTTCTACCTTAACTTGCATGTCATTAGTAAGAGATAATTAATCAAACCAAAAAATGCTAAAAAATTTACAGTTGAAAGACTTCAATCCAATCAATCAAATTCAAATAAAACGCATAACCAATAACTGACAAAATTCCTTCATAACTTAATCCAATATACAAGGCATCGATATTCTGATATGATTATCTGTGATTAGAGAGGAAAATAATCCCTAATTTAATATTCATATACGGGGCCAATTCTATTGGATATCTTAAATTTTAGAAATTATTTATAATAAACAACGAATCAACTATTTTGTCTTAGAATTGCAGCTTCAGTATCAATTGTGAAATAAATTTCATGTACAATATTTTCAGCAGTATATTGATAATTTTTGTATTACAAACTTATGAAAAACGTCTAAAAACCTAATTTAACCAAGTTTATAGCGAAAAGAATATTAAAATGACTATAGTTTTCCTCAGACTTGACTTCAATCAATCCAACGTATATATGATGCTCGCAAACAACAAAGTTTGTGCCTGCAACTTATGAACCGCTTTGAGCCTCTGGTGAATTGCTATGAGACCTAGTACGTGTAAGACCTAGTACGTGTGAGACCTAGTACATTTGAGACCTAGTACATGTGAGACCTAGTGGCTAGTACATGTGAGACCTGGTACATGTGAGACCTAGTAGCTTGTACATGTGAGACTTAGTGTGGGCCTCCGATTATGTGGGAGGCCCACAACGAGACCACCCGCGTCACGTTGGAGGATAGCTCCAGCATCGTCATGCGGTGCCTCGATGCTACAAGACTGGCGATTGCAGAGGCTCTCATCATCAAGGACGAGTCTCCTATTATCAATTCGCAAAACAACCGCATTTTTCAGGATGTTGTAATTATTCCCGGAGTAACTTCAGTTTAGATTTTGAACCTTATCTAAAATGCCCTTGTATGTTGTAATGTCATTTCCAAATTTCGATGTTAAGCGTTTTAGATAACTCTTAGACCGCTACGTGTACGTAGACCATTGCCTGAAATTAACCGCCCTGGTTTAAACAAGCTAATTCTACCATCTAATAATAATTAGACCATTGCGTGTACGTGAACGAATTTTGATTGTACGGTCCCAGCCTAGTTCACTAGCATTCAGTTCGTAAATTCATATTTGGCACACAGGCATTCATCCTTCTGACCTGCACTCGCAGACTCCAAGTAAAATCATAATGTCCAAAATCAAAATGTTTCATGGCTTTACTCGATAGGTCGTGAATGACTTCTCTTTCTAATTTTTTTATAAATCAATCATAATTTGCTTGAAAATTATGATAAATCTTAAGGGGCTTAGCCACTTTGGCCGTCTTTAAAACCTTGTGATACCGCTAATAACATTGCAATTTTTTAGGCCTTTCTTTAAACATAATATGACTTTGAACATTGCAAGGCAGCAGAGTGAATAAGTAGGAGTTTTTTAAAGTTAGGTAGATTTGAGATTTTACTATTACTATACTGTTATTATATCGCCAGTCGCTTCAATTTCGATCAGGTTGCGTCTACAGTGGTCATTAACGATAAGTTGTAAGTCCTCGTATGAATAGGTTACGGCAAAAATAGTACAGAGAGAAGGTTGTAATGAAACACTGGTACATTTCAGATTAAATTGGAAAATTCAAGTTCACATACTACGTTGACAAAAATCTCCAGTACATGAAAAAGGTAAACTGAACACAATCAAAATCGAGAACCTAACATTTCACATCACTAAAACTTCTCTATTCACCAGAAAACGTTGAACCGTAGAGCGATCCCGTAGAATGGTACGACCCCCGTAATAACCGTCCCGCGACAGCACCGCTTCTGACGAGAACTGTGACCGTACTGTGCTGATGACCGTACCGAAGCTAATTGTTGCTCGGCGCTTGAAAACTTGAATCTTCTGATGGCCGGCGTTACAATCGTTGGGCATATCTTGTCCCTCTCGCGTTGTCTCACGACTGAGTCGCAGCCGTAGTGTTGATGTTGGCCGTACATTAATATTTCGAAGTCGTGGCCGTCGATTTTAAATGTTTGACGTCCTCACGGGAATCGTAGCTGTCTCAGTGAGTCTAAGTTTCTCGCGACAGCCTAAGTTCGAAAACGGCGAAACCGCCGGTCTCACGGCCGCGGCCGTCACAACGTCCGCAGACAGTAAACCGTACTTTCGTGACGGTCACCTCCGGAGAACAACCTTTGGCGCCAATTTTAGGACCCTTATATACGCTGGTGTTGCCCACACTTAACCTATACCCTCGAAGTGACGCTGCGACGGTTTTGAATTCCACAAGGGTCAGCACCTTTGATACAATCGCCATTTCAAACTATAAACAAACCCTCGGTCTCACGGTCTCGAGAACAATAGCTCCTTATACAAGCTTTACACAGTTCAACCTAAATTTCTGTAGCCTTCTCAATCTTCACTCTAAGTCTCTAGCTTCCAGTAACTTTTAAAACTCAAGTCATTCATAAATTCCCCCTCAACCTACGTTTTACACAGTCTAATATAATAATAATAGCGGTTTTAGTGTTTAGTAGGCCGTAGGCCTGTCGCCGATTTTTAACATCACAGAACATTCACAGCATTTTGCGGTCCCGAACTAGCAACTCACTGCTACAATTCTGCTGTGCTTAACCGCCCGGCCTCCTTGCCGATTCTGACCAGAAACTGGCGCACAGAGCTGGGATCGAACCCGCGCCTCTCTGCGCAAATCCTAGTACTCTGAATGTTAACCACTGGGTCACGCTGCCCCTGTTATATATATAACTTAATATAACTTAATTCAGAATTACCGACACTCTAATCAAGAGGCGTTACTTGATTTCAAGAACAGAGGGGTGGGGGCTAAGCCTCAAAGATTTATTATCATATTGATGTTAAAAATGATTGGTTGTGTGCTTATTTATTTAAAATCACATTTAAGCCTCAATAGGAATTGATCATTATTTTTCGTTACTCTTAATTGTAATGAATGAACAGTTAATTGGTAATGGGGATAGAATGATTGGTAATGATTGTCCTGGCTCAACTCAGATATATTCTGCGACATTTTTAGTGTCTTTGTAGATGGCGTATTTCCTCCTTAAGAAATTCACCATAGGCTATCCTGTGAATAAATCGCTCTAAACCCTGTTGGAAATATAGTAGCGAACTCTAAATTTCAGTGCATCGAAATTATTTCGTCTGTAAGCTTAAGTTTGAACTGAGGACGCATAAAGCAGTTACAGCTAAGCTATGGAGCATTTGTGCGTAAAACTTTTGGCCACATCCAAGTATAACGTTCTAGATTAAGGACTGATGCAAGGGTTAGCAGCTGCCTTTAATCGTGTGAGCAGCCTTGACTTTTTCTTGTTTTAGTGTTCCTTCAAGGAGTATATATGATGCTCCATCTACTCAATGCCATAGTAAATTGAATCGGGAAAAGAGAAACGTAGATATGTTTGGGAGGAAGAGATGGAAAAGGAAAAAGAAAATGTTTCAACAAATAAAGTAGTAATCGTGCATACAGATAGAGAAGAAGTAGAGAAGACAGATGTAATAAGATAAGCCCTTGACAACAACCAGTGTGCGGCCCCGGAGCTCATGTAATATCGTTCATTGCCACGCCAACTAGCTGGCGGGGTGGTGGTGACGAGCGTCACTTCTGATAGAGTTAACTTTGTGCAATACTAACTCGGCATCAACAGTGTTCAGATCTGCGAACTCAGCTTGACTCACACTTTAATTCCTGCTTTGCAGCTACAGAGTTGCGATCCGCCACCTCGTTTCTTACCCATTTCGTCACAAACGATGGATTTCTCTGGGAAACGAGCGTTGGTGACCGGTGCAGGTGCAGGAATTGGTCGTCAAACGGCCTTGCATTTGTCCAAATTAGGAGCCGAAGTGTTTGCGTTGAGTCGCACCAAGTCAAAACTCGAAACTCTTCAGCAAGAGGATCCCAAGATCAAAATAATCGCTGTGGATGTGTCAGATTGGGACGCTACACGAAAAGCAGTGTTGGAAATCACACCAATTCAACTACTCGTCAACAACGCAGCCACTGACAATGATGAACAGTTCCTAGCCACAACACAAGAAACGATGAATCATATGTTCAACGTCAACGTCATGGCGGCGGTAAACATTTCACAAGTCGTCGTCGAGGACTTAATCAAGAGGAAGATGAAAGGTAATATAGTGATGGTGTCTTCTGAAGCTGGATTGGTCGGGTTTTCAGACGGTTTTGCTTACAACATGAGCAAAGCTGCCTTGGATAACTGCGTCAAGAGCATGGCTATAGAACTCTCTCCTCTGGGTATCAGAATCAACTCGGTAAACCCTGGACTCGTGTTGACAGATTCTGGTAAGATTTGGGTAGAAAGAAATGAGAAGAAGGCACAGGAAATTAAACTTCGCACTCCAATGCGTCGTTTTTCCGAAATTTCAGACGTGACTAACGTGATTGCGTTCCTACTTAGCGACAACAGCACCATGGTTAACGGCCATAACCTGCCTGTGGAGGGGGGCTGGCTGTGCGGCACGAATTTTTTGGCTGATGGACATGAAAATTAGTCTGCATTTTTGGGTTTCCTGAAAAACCATCGAAGAAAACTATACTCGAGCTCCCTTGATACCGTTTGGGGAGTGAGATAATTAGTTTTCGCATGAGACCTAGCAGGTAGTTGAATGTTTGCTAAGGAGGAAAATGCAGAAAATTCGGTGATTCACGACATCGCAGAAAATTACTGCTTCCTTGAATTCCGAGCCCTCAATTCACTACAACTTTAATTTTGCTGTTATCAGCCACCCGGAACTGTTATTATATTATATTATTGTGATATTTTATTTTATTCTTATATTAATATCAGTATAACCAGAACTGTTGCAGCTAACTCTGGTAGAACACACAACTCACTGCTCCCTTCCTGCTACTCTGAAGTGTAGCCACTCTGCCACACAGTGTAAACTGAAATATTAATTGTTGTTAATTTGCTAATATGTCATTGATGAATTATATATTCCCTTGTGACCTTTCGACCTCATCAAGACTAATTCACGTTTCAGTGTTGCAGATACTTAAATATCAATATATTTATATACTCGTATATAAGAAATATATTGTTTATACTCAATCTCAGTCTTGTTGCAATGTTTACAGGACGTAGTGAATTTTATAACCATACAACTTTATAATGAAAATTTATTATATAATTGTTAATTTTACCATTTGATTATCCGATATAATTTTTGAATAAACCGTGTTATCATTTCCTATCCGATCTACATTAACTTACATGTCATTAGTAATAATTAATTAATCAAACCTAAAAAAATTCTCAGTTGCATTGCTTCAGTCCAATCCAACAAATTCAAATAAAACACATTATCAACAACTGACTAAATTCCATCATAAAATAATCCTATATAAAAGGCCGTGATATTCTGATATGATTATCTGTGTTTAAAGAGGAAATTAATCCCTAATTAAATTTTCAAATACCTGGTCAATTCCTTCGGATATCTTTGATTTGAAAATTATTTTCAATAAACAACGAATAAACAATTTTGACACAGAGATGCAGCATCATCATGAATTGTGAAATCAATTTCCTGTACAATATTTTCAGCAGGATATTGAGGATGATTTTTTGTATTCCAAACCTTTAAAAAAACAGAGGAAAATAACCTAATTTGATCGAGTTATTAGCGAACAGAATATTAAAATTACAACGGTTTTCCTTAGACATGACTTAAATTCAACGTATATATGCTCGCAGACAACAAAGTTTGTGCTTGTGTACTTTTCTCAGCGCTTTTCTAAAAAATGATTTTGAAATAACTCGTGCAACAGCTTGAATATACTGCAGAAAAAACATAACCTTCCTCTCAATTGCATCAGTTATTCAAAATATTCAGGAGGCTTCCAAGTAATGCGCGAAGCAAATAAATTGCATTGTACTCACATTACCTCTTTACAATAATTAAGTGCACTCAAAAAAATGTTTGAGTCACATTGACCAAATCTAGTGTTGGATCAATGTGGATTTGGTCTCATAATCCATTGACCCGTAAAATAATCCATTTGGTCTCATACCAGGATTTGGTCTCATAATATCACACAAGGCGTCCCGCCTGTATACTATACATACCAGGATTTGGTTTTATAATCTCATACAAGGCGTCACTCTTGAATACTATACATACCAGGATTTGGTCTCATAATCTCATACAAGACGTCACTCTTGTATACTATACATAATAGGATTTGGTCTCATAATTTCATACAAGGCGTCACTTTTGTATACTATACATACTAGGATTTGAATTTCTGCATTTATTGCGAGGGTTAAGTAGAAAGTAATTAGGAATGGTAGATTTATTCAAAATACGATAAAATATTTTCTAGAAGCTATGTATAATTATTCAGTACGGAAGTGAGTTCCCATCTAGAATGTGATGATGGACGTTTAATTATAAAATGAAACACTTTACTAACAAACATTATGAAAATATACGCGATGTGAACGACCATAAATTCACAGTATTAATGAAAATAGTTACATAATTGCTGAAGATTGCAATGAATAAACGATCAATATGTTTTTGTGTGAGAACGATAAAATAATGAGTTAAATCTAACGTCCTCGAAGTGCTAGTTACAGCCCTCGAGGTGCTAGTTACAGCTCTCGAGGTGCTAGTTACAGCCCTCGAGGTGCTAGTTACAGCCCTCACTAAGTGTTGCGTACCTCCCTAAAGTTGCCAGGGTACTTGCTAAGTGTTGCGTACTTCCCTGAAGTTGCCAGGGTACTTGCTAAGTGTTGCGTACTTCCCTAAAGTTGCCGGGGGTACTTGCTAAGTGTTGCGAACTTCCCTAAAGTTGCCGGGGGTACTTGCTAAGTGTTGCGTACTTCCCTAAAGTTGCCGGGGTACTTGCTAAGTGTTGCGTACCTCCTTGAAGTTGCCAGGGTACTTGCTAAGTGTTACGTACCTCCCTAAAGTTGCCGGGGGTACTTACTAAGTGTTGCGTCCTCCCTAAAATTGCCGGGGTACTTGCTAAGTGTTGCATACCTCCTTGAAGTTGCCGGGGTACTTGCTAAGTGTTGCGTACCTCCCTAAAGTTGCCAGGTACACACTAAGTGTTGCGTACCTCCTTAAAGTTGCCGGTGTACTTGCTAAGTGTTGCGCACCTCCCTAAAGTTGCCGGTGTACTTGCTAAGTGTTGCATACCTCCCTAAAATTGCCAGGGTTCTTGCTAAGTGTTTCGTATACCTCCCTAAAGTTGCCAGGGTACTTGCTAAGTGTTGCGTACCTCCCTAAAGTGGACGGGGTACTTGCTAAGTGTTGCGTACCTCCCTAAAGTTGCCGGATGTACTTGCTAAGTGAACTGAAATGATATACACGGTGTTATAACTGTAATGATATGTATACACGGTGTTGTAACTGAAATGATATACACGGTGTTATAACTGTAATGATATAAACGGTGTTATAGTTGTAATGATATGCGCAGTGTTATAACTGCAGTGACATACACATAATTGATACTGGGATAAAGAATATGTCACTATAACTGAAATTAAATAAACATTATTATAACTGAAACTAAATATACATTGAGAAAACTGCAATAAAGTCAACATCACTATAACTGCAAAACACTACACATTACTGTAATATTAAAAGAGAGCACATTACTATCACTGCAAAAATATTCATTATACCGTTATTTCAAAGATATTTGCATTACTATAATTGCAAAATAATTCACATCACTATAATTTCGAAGAAATTCCCATTACTATAATTTCATAGAAATTGACGTTTCCATTATTGCAAAAAAATTCACATTACTATAATTTCAAATAAATTCAAGCTACCATTATTGCAAAGAAATTCAAATTACTATAATTTCAAACAAATTCACATTACTAAAGTTTCAAACAAATTCGCATTACTAAAATTTCAAATAAAGTTACTTTACTGGAACTGCAAAGGTTCTCGGCTAAAGCAACCCTATCAAAATTTTTAGTTGGTGGCGAGCCTGAATTAGGAACCGCCTAGGACTCGGACCGAACGTAAATCAGCTTCTCTATGTCCGCTTTTTGGTCTACATTCCGGCCCCCGAATCATACAGCTACCAGAGCCTGGTGAGGGGACTGAGGGGATTCTGCCAACTCCTGCCCTACTCTCAGGAGACCATAAAGTCGGCCAGGAGGTTCTGACTAGTCGCTGATTGCGATCAGTTGGCCAACTGACCCAGAATAACTTTGCACCGAGTGTAGTGACTATTCGGCCGAAGCCAAGGCGGTCCCCGAATTTTGTTAGGGAAGTAACCTTTCGTAGTCTGCCCCATTCAACTTGCTTTGCTCGACTATTCGTAGTCTCGAATTAAATATCGATGCATTTAATAATATAATTTATGATGAATAAATTTTCCGGGCAACTGAGAGTTGAGTTTATACAGCTTCTTATCAGCAGCCAATATTGTTATACTTATCGGGGTACATCAAAAAAGAATAATTACTGTTTAATTATTTTTAATTTTTTATATTGAATAGACTTTCATTAATCAGCAAAACAAACACCTTTATTACTAAAATAGCATATTTCCAGAACATTTAAAACCCAGGCATTGTATGTTGTATCACTTGTATGTACCGGTATTGATACACCAAGGGCATGCAAATATTCAAAAGCATGAGCTAAATTTATATTTCGCTACTTCCTTAGGTTGTACAGGCCTTTTATTTTTTAATAGTTCACAAAACTCTCACTCGACCTACTTGATTTATAGCCTTAAGTACTTGTCGAAATTAATTTAATTTTCAAGCAAGTTCAAAATCTCCTCCAATTTTCTAGGTTTGTTGAGTTTGCACCAATTTGCCTGGCTTGAATTCAAGCACCAAGATTGCCAAGCAAGTTTTACATTTTCGCCGATTTCCGTACCTTTTAAATTTTATCCTTTTGATTCGGACACTAATATTATTGCATACACTCACGCAGGTCTGGAGGGGAGTAATGTATTTCCAAGCCAGTTTAAAGTACCGCCAGAGCCTGAAGCCGAGCATCATGTCCATGTTGTCCATCAGTCTGTCCGCCCCGTACACCCATGACAACACCGTGGCCTCCAGACCACACACGGTCAGTAGGATGATGCCGCTAGCAGCGAAGTAGTCGAACAATTGGAAGACGTACATACCACCCTGTACAGTGGACATAACTTCAAGTTGGTATTTGAACCTGAGCTTGTATTGATTATTTTACCATGTACATACCACCCTGTACAGTGAACATAAGTTCAAGCTGGTATTTGAACCTGAGTTTGTATTGATTATTTTACCATGTACATACCACCCTGTACAGTGGACATAACTCCAAGTTGGTTTATGAACATGAGTTTTTATTAATTTTTTACCACGTACATACCACCGTAACCACCCTGTACAGTGGACATAAGTTCAAGTTGGTTTTTGAATCTGAGTTTACATTGATTCAACGCATGTTTAAAAAAACATCTGACTGGCATAATACATAATTAACTATTTCAATAGTAAGATTTAATTTTTTATGATGAGGTCTTAGAGAAAAAATGATATATAGACTACCGAAGTACTCTTGCAATTAGACCAAGAGTTCAGCAATTTGTATCTTTCATCAGAAAGGGAATATTTTGGAAGAATATCTAGATATTGTAAATAGGTATTCTATTAAAACTATGCCCAAATGCTAAATACACGATACCTGCATAACCATGCTGCATCCCACTGCAAAGTCCAGTAAACACACGGCAGCCACGACAATTTCTCGTCCACGCCGTGTTCTCAGAAGGTTCGGGTAAAGATCCACGATGGCTGTGACCACGGACTCGACTTGCACGAACTGGGAGTCCAATCCTACCATGAGTATCATGCAGAAAAACATGGCAGACCAGAGGGGTGCAAACGGCATCTGCGCCATGGCTTTAGGGTAGGCGATGAAAACGAGTCCGGGTCCTGAAATAACAAAAAACTATAGTTATAGCAGCGAAAAATATCAGCTGCAATTTGGTTATTGTGCTGTATGAATTTTTGATATCATGTAGATACGATGTATTTATGTTGTTTTTGATTTGTCTGTCTGTTGACCTAACGCAGAGCTAATTGTAATTATGGACTGTGCGCGTCAAAAAGGCCTCACTCACTTCTCACATACAGACCAGTTGACTGATTATGTCCACTGTTACTCTACTATTCCTAAGGAATACCTTTATCAAATAGGTATTCCAAGAAAAATATTCATACCAAAAGATATTCTTGTTGGAATGTCATTAAAAATAAAATATTCCAGGAATACCCTTACAAGAAATGCAACTCAGTACTCACTGCAGTAAGTGTCAGAGAGCGCATTTTCTCGTCGACAAAAACGTGAAGTCACGGACAGACAGACAGACGGACGGACACGGCGAGCACAAGAGTGCATTTTTTTCATAAATGAGAGAATGCAGTAAAAAGGGTATGCCACGACGAATAAACTTCCAAAAAACATATTCACCTATGAATATCATTACAAAAAATATATTTCTGTTAATCAACATTTCGCCGAATGACTCACCAGCTTCAGCCACCTTATCCATGGGCAGTTCGAGCTGCAGGCTCATGTATCCCAATACGCTGAATATTCCAAAACCCGCGAAGAGGGAAGTGAGGGAGTTACACGCACACAAAATAGCGCACTGCTTGGCAAAGTTGTTGTTGAATTTGTTGTAGGAACCAAGAGCTACCATGCCACCGAGGCCCACAGCGTACGAGTAGAAGATCTGAGTACCAGCATCGTTCCAGACCTGAGAAATAAGAAACTGTGTTAGCAAGCATTGTTTTTTAATGGTACACAGGGAATTTAGCACTAGGTATGTAGGTGTACATGAATTATGTTTTACCACAGCAAAGACACACACCAACTTTTGCCTAAAACTTCGTTATTGAGTTGAATATTTTGGCTTCCATTAGTAAATGGCTGTAAAATTATGTTAATAGATCATAAATTCAGATAGCAAATAAAAATTTTTTTACGATTCTTGGCATAAATTCACGATTTGATCCTTATTGTTGGACTCAAGAAATTTAGAATATCATAAATAAATATGAACGAGGGTATTTTTATACAAATTTCTGAAAGAGTATTGCTGTCTTTATGAAATAAAAATGTAAATTCCGTGCATGTGATGCAACAATAAATTCCGTGCAATAAAAATACGCACTGAGTGCTTGCAGACATGAAAAGTCATTTACAATTATATTTTAACCAGAATTTTCCTGAGCAGCGAGACACTTATTTGACTGAAAATTTTTTTACGTACGCGACAGCATACTTCTCATCGATAGAAATTTTTACAAGATAAATTGATACATTTCAGCTGGAGCTAATCCTGTGAGAGTGAACGGTGAACAGTTTAAATCTCATGATAATTTTATAATTATCACTATTATTATACATGCATATGCATATGTCGTACCAGTTTGCCGCATCCGTAGAATCAGCATTTCTATACTTTAGGAAGCATTTTAGGCTAGGTCAGTCAGCCAAGTTTTTTTCATATTTAAATATAAAGGAACTTGACCAAACTTGAACCAACCTATTCTAACTCTAACTGTCGATGTATGTTCTAACTCTAGCTCTAACGTCCGATTTTCTAAATCAGCAACGAAATGCCGATTCTACATGCAGCTCTGCCAAACTGGCTTCCGATTCCAGTGAATCGGTAATTCCGCGATTTCGGTACGACATATATGTATATTTGAAAGAAATTGAAGATGAAAATTTCTAAAGGAATAGCACCGCCTTTTGCCACCTCGTAATATTAATTATATATCCATTATAAATTAGGACACTCTTAGGTTTTTCCTTTTTAAAGCATGTAACCATAAATAGCTTTACACTTGTATAAAGTGTATAAGTTCCGCTTCCGAACTTATAAACTTCCGAAGTTCCGCTTTATTTATTAATACCAGTATTCGCAAGTGAGTGCAAATTTCATTTCAGAAAGAAGTGCGCAATATTTTCAACATCCTGGAAATTTCATTTCATGATGTAATTCATTAATTTGAATTAAAATTATCCTTGTGTAATTTTAACCGGATTGAGTAACACGGAATTCAAAAATCATGTGCCTGGCATTTAACGTACCTTGGCACGTTAAATAAACATATACGTATTCAACGTAACGTTATCCATGCTTGCATGTTTTTTTTCGTAACTCATCGGCAACAAGTCTGGCCCTGAAAATCTGACTTAATGTACCTGATGGTCGAAGATTTTCTCCCATTTAGGCTCAAGATAATAACGAATGCCCTCAGCAGCCCCAGGCAGCGTCACGCCCCGGATGAGGAGAGCCGTGAGCATCACGTACGGGAAGGTTGCTGTGTGAGGAAGGCATTTAATATCTTATACGGGAAAGTTTTTGAGTAAGAAAGTGCCGTTATTTACGCTATTTAAAATTAGAGATAAATACCATCGCCTGACCAATCTGAAAACCTGATTGATTGATTTTGAACTGACTTATTATGGCTATTGGGACAATTTTTCACGAATGGTAACATTTAGTCTGAAATATTCTGTCGCTCCAGCAACTAAGAAAAAAATTGTTTTACCGCTGAAAAATATACAAAAATTAAGTGAGATCATTATTATTATGGAGAAATCTTACCAGTGAAGTACATAATTTTCCCGGTGACTTTGACACCTTTCCAGATGGCGAAGTAAGTGCACACCCAACAGAAGATAAGACAGCCGAACAGCGGCCACACCATCCCACCCATGTCGTCAACGCCGTCAGTGATCTGCAGCACTTTGTTGCTGCACAATAATGTTCCCGCATTAATTCCTTATGGATGTATCTTTTTAGCGCATTTTCTCATTTATGGGAAAAAGGCGTTATTGTGCTCGTCATGTCCGTCCGTGACTGCGTCTACGTTTTTGCCGACGAGAAAATGCGCTCTCTGTCACTCCATGCAGTGAGTACTGAGTGATATTTTTTAAATAATTTTAAGACTGATTGTGACCAGAGCACCTCCGATCCCTGATAACTGTTATGGGTAAGGTGGCCCAGTGGTTACAATTCAGCCTATTATGACTGGAGCAGCGAGTTGTGGTTTCGATCCCAGATATCTGCTAGAGTTCTGGTTTAATCGGTGAGGAGGCCATGCGGTTAAATACAACAATGGAGCAGTGACTTGCATGTTCGAGACGGTAACAAGCTGGGAAAATTCTGCGATGTTGAGAACCGACGAAAGGTCTATATAACGGCCTTTTAATCAATGCTGACACAGCTGTTCTACATAAGTGTCATTTTTAAGGTAAACATGATTATTTTTGTGTTTATTCGTAGCTTCACTCGTCACAGCGTCCACTTTAGGTATACCAGTGCATTTATTCATGCTCAAGTAAAATATTGTTTGATTCTTTAATTTATTAAAGATCGAACTGTTGACAAACAACGCGAATTGCTAAGCGCAAGTCGAATTATTTTGCAGTTTTTCACTTTGGCGTCTATGATTATTTTTAGCCACAAAATTTCCATCTACGCTTCGACATTTTTTGCAAAGTCAAGGATTCTCTAAAAAATAGATAAGAATGTTAACTAAACCTCGCCTAATTTTTTTCTTGCTGTGCCTGCAATTCATTGATTTATTATTATCTTTATAATTATCATTATTATGAAGATACAGGCATTAATTATGTTTATTATTGCCACAATTATAAAGATACTGTTAGTGCGTCTCACTTTTGTCCGTATTTGCCATCATAATAATCATATAAATCATTTGTAACAGATTCTGATCCAAGGCTTCAGCAAATAACGTTGGCAGCAACACAACCAAAAAGACGGTCTCACAAGTACAATTGATACAAAAAATAACCTCTACTTAAACTTCTGAATCTCTTAGTAATCATAAAATATAATAACAATTTTATTTTAGAATGAAAAGCACTTAGGTAAAACAAACTTCAGTACATTTTTCACAATGAAATGTTTTATTTACACATTATTTGCCTTTTTCTTATTGATTTTGTAAAACGTGATGAGGACGCTATACTTTCTCGAGCTGTGAACCAAGTTCTCTTATAACAAATGCAAATTAATTCATTATATCAGACTTCTTTTTTTATGTTAATTTCGCGCTTCTTCTTTTAATTCTTCACATACTCCCAGAACTCCACGACGGAGTCCCGAGGTGTGATGTTCATAGACCGAAGCTCCGCCAGCGTGGAGTGGTTCGTAGCGTCGGAGACGCACGCTGCCGTGTTCCACCTGCGAGAAAATAATATATTATAATGTTGTACCACCTGCAAAACTGGTGCAATATAATGTTATACCACATGAAAAACTGGTACAATGTAATGTTGCACCACCTGCAAAACATGCAGGTACAAGATAATGTGGTACCACCTTAAATAGAGGTACAATATAATGTTGTTCTCGAGCGAAACAGATGCGATGTAGTGTGGCTTCACTTCTCAATATAAATTTAATTTGAATTCTTCGGTGCCAATAGGTATTCGAGACTGAAGAAAACGTTATCTCACAAATGGAATAATTTAAATATTACTGACTTGATTTATATTGAATTTAAAATATTTGAACTCATACGAGCCCGCAATTTTAATGAGTATTGTTTTTCATTTCAGTTATTATTACTTTTTCCTCATACGAGAAAAAAGTAATTCATTAAGTAGCGGCAAACTTTTTCTTCCGCGTATACATTCTTAAAACTTTTCAAGATACCGAATTCAATATCTTCTGAATAGCTCACCAGTTGCCGCAAGTGGCCCAAGGCAAAGTACTCTGGAAGGACAGCACAAAGTAGTACAGCGCCCACGCAATGATCACGATGTAGTACATGTTCAACAGGTTGCACACAGATATGGCCGCGTAGCCGATCCCTGTAAAACGAATTAGTACAGCAGTAGTAGAGCTGTAAAAATTGTACGGTACCTGTAAATATTTTTAGCGAACCTTTTGTTAGCTTAGTTTTAATAGTCTATTTTTTATGCGCTCCTATGATTTACTTGTTTATCTGACCTTTAGAGTATAAAAGCTAGTCAACGACGTATCAAATAGTTTCTTGTCAAATCAGTTGTTCGTAGCCCGCGTCAAAACTGCCAACAATATTTCGGTGCGTTGAGTTACAGTATGCCTTCTTATAACTTGCTTATAGTTTAGATGATTATTTGTTATATTTGAATATTATAAGCATACATTGAAGTTTATAGGGTTAATATATTTATGTTTGTTCTCACAGATACAATTTTTCATTCAATAAAAAGGAAATTTGTTATTTAAACCGTGGTTATCCTAAAACCTGAACGCGGACTTACGGCAACCCAAACTCAAAAACGGAAAGCGTTTTTACAGTACCTATTAGTATATCAGAAACTAATGCAGCATCAAGTAGTACAGCATAAAAAATTACAGAAAAAGTAGTACAACACAAGACATTACAGCACCAAGTAGTACAGTACCAAGTAGTGGTGCTGTACTACACCGTGCACCAAGTACTACAGACAACATGCGAGGAGAACAATGTAATGCATGTTCAACACGTTACACAGCGAGATTTTCGGCTCAAATCAACCCTATGATTATTGAAAAAGAAAACATTTTCGTGATATTACGAGTGGTCGTTCAAAAAAATTCTTGAAATAAATAATTTTTGATAGGGAATAGCACCACTTATGAAAACTTAATAAAATGAGGAAATTCAGGCATGACAGAAATCAGGAAGAATTCATACCTTCTGTGATTTTGAGGTTAGAAGAAATCCATGATGAACATTTGTGCAAATAATCGCATTATGGGATCAGGATAATGAATTTTTAAAGTGGATATTGTGTGCTTAGTAATTAACAGGACATAAGATGAAGGAAAAGAAATTTACAAGTTTCAAAGATTAAGGAAAAACAAAGTGAAAGTGAATAATCGCCCGTGTCTATGCGACCAAAAACATCTGCTGTGCAAAAATTTTTTCTAAACTGTGGACTGAAGTAATCAGTTCGATTAATCGCTCTGAATAAAGACAAGTAAGACTGGCTCTTTCACTAAAAAAATATAACTCAGTACTCACAGAAGTGAGTGACAGTGAGCTCATTTTCTCGTCGACGAAGACTTGAGGTCACGGACAGACGGACAGACGGACGGACAGACAGACGGACATGGCGAGCACAATAGGGCATTTTTTCCATAAATAAGAAAATGCGCTAAAAACGCTTCCAAAGTCTTATTTTTCCAAACGAATTATATACATGACCCCAAATCCTATCACCGATGTAGCGCCAAAGTCGCCCTCGAGTGTCATGTCAAATAAATATTGTAATTCCAAGAGAAATAAGACATTCCAATCATAATATTTTTTTATCATTACATTTATTATTTAATGTTCACTTAGTTTTAGGTTATATTGGAGACCGACTTCGACATGCTACACAGGAGAAAGCTTCAAACATGTGAGACGTGACATATGAGTCGCCTTAAATGCATATATCATTAACATGTAAAAGCCGTTATCATATGAAACCAAGTTAGATTTGCCCTTCAATAAAAAATATAAATAATTTAATCTCAGAGGAATTTTGATTTGGTTCGACGGTTAAACTAATTTGTTAATCTTTGAATAATTGTGTTAAAATTGGCATTAAAAAATTCTGGAAACTTATTATACTTCTTAAACAATATTTCCATTGTATTTACTACGGAAAAATTGTGCTTATTAGTTTGCAAATTGAATGCGTCGTTTATTACAAATCCAAAAATTAATATATATATGTAAATATTCACTATATATAAATATAATAATAATTTACTAAAAATTCAATATTACAAACGGTGTGTAGAAGTATAATTACTATTTGCATTAGTAATTAATCATACATTAAAGTGATTAAACAGTCTTAAATACATTCTCATGTTGATCAAAGTTTGCAGTGTCGTTCGCCCGACTCCAAAGTTCAAGACCGACAAGCAACCAAACTGAATGAATCGCTGTTATGTTGGCATGGCAGTCACCTCACCTTACATTGCTGAGAGATTCGTCTCATGCTCCTGAATGCTGTGTACACTCAAACAAATTAGTGTGACTTTAATTGACGGATATAAACTGTAATCAACAGCTCGCCTAGTACAGCTATAGCAAGATTGGACTCATCTAGCTCGTCACTAAAGTAAATATGTAGAACGACGACAGTCTAGTCTTGCAGCGGTTACACTAGACAGAATAGACGGGTGTAGTCTTGTGATAGCTGCACTAGACGAGCTAGATGAGTCTAGTCTTGCTATAGCTACACAAGAAGAGGTTGCACAAATGAAATAAAGTTTCAGATAATTCATCTGAAGAGTGGACACCTATTTAGGTATCCATCTAGTACTTTACACTACCTGATTTAGTTCCTAATTATTACCTCTGAAGAGCGGACACGTATTCAGGTATCTAACTAGTACTTTAGACTACCTGATTAAATTTCTAATAATTACCTCTGAAGAGCGGACTTTTATTCAGGTATCTAACTAAACTTTGCAATACCTGATTTAGTTTCTAATAATTACCTCTGAAGAGCGGACACATCTTCCACACAGATATTCCTCCTTCGCTCATGAACTGACCGATGCCCACCTCCAGAAAGAACATAGGCACGCCTCCCACCAGGGCACATACCACGTACGGGATCAGAAACGCTCCTGCAGAAATAAAATACGATAAATTTAATCGATAATAATATTCTAAATAAAAATTAAAGCTTCATTTCAGAAAATCTAAAATTATATATCCAGATTAAATAACAATCAGTTTTGAAGGTTGTCCAACGTAACCAAATGTTTGGAGATGCATCATCGCTCTGCCAGAATACCAGAAAAATATAACTCAGTACTCCCTGCAGTGAGTGGACAGAGAGCGCATTTTCTCGTCAACGAAAACTTGAGGTCACGGACGGACAGACAGACGGACATGGCGAGCATAATAGTGCATTTTTTTCCATAAATGAGAAAATGCGCTAAAAATACCGTCTCAACAGTGAAGTTTGGAGGTGGCAGCATAATACTTTGGTGTTGTTTACATTATGCAGGCCCTGGGTAATTGGAAATCATAGAAAGAAGGATGGACTCCGAAATGTATTGGGGCATTATTTAGAGAAGCCTCGTGAAGTCAGCCGAAAAATTAAACTTTCCTCGAGGTTGAATATTCCGACAAGACAATGACCCTGGGCACATGGCGAGGGCAACTCTTGGATGGTTTCAGGAGAGGGACATTGAGTTATTGGAATTTCAAGCCAATCAATGACCTAAATTTGATTAAAAGCCTGTGGGGGGAATTGAAAGTAAGAGTATAGGAGAGAGACCCAAAAATATTATTCAACTGAAAGAAATATGCAAGGAAGAGTGGGCTAAAATTCCAATAAGCATACATGTTAATCTTGTAAACAAGTATTCGAATCGGTTAGAAGCAGATTTGGTAGCTGAAGGTCACAAGACGAAGTATTGCATAAACTTGAGTACTATATGCGTTGGATGCTTTTTGAACCCTGACTTCTAAAATATTGCAATTATCAAGTCAACATTTAATGATAGTGCTGTTTTGATATGATATTTGAATTTGTATTTCCCAAGTAAATTTACATTGGAATAGTGTTTGTTTATGTTATTGTGTTGAATACGCTTCAATTAAATAAAGTTTATCCTTCGTGCCGGATACTTTTTACACCCACAGCATATATTACTCGTATTTTTTGAAGCAAATTCTTAATGGCTCATTGCCTTTGATGTAAATTTGATAATGATGATGATAAAATATAACGATGATTTTATAATCTAGCGATATTTTCTTTACTATTAGAGAAATACACCAAAAACTTTTAAATTACATCGGTTCTTACAAGCTGCCACCAATTAAGTGAGAGATGAAATTTAACGAAGAGTAGGTGTACAAAAAAAGTCGGCTCCTGCGCACAAATTGTATGGGCGAGATGAGTACAACATCGTCGATTGCCGTGGGATAAATGATAACATTTCTCTCAGAAATTCCGACCTCTCGAGTACTGCTCGATTGTTGTCAAGACATCGAGCTCGGCAAGATAGTTGTCAAGACGGCTTGATTGTTGTTTTGTCAAGACATCGAGCACGGCTAGATTAATTTCAAGACATCGTTACTGTCTAACGTTTTTTTTCATATTCAACCTGAAATACACTCTGCAACATACGTTGAATCAGGCTGATGTAACATCAACGTTCAATCAAGGCTGAAAATTTACCTATTATCCGAGCCCATCTCAATGAAAGAATAATAAATTTGAAGAAAAATTTCCGTATTTCAATTTCTGCAGCTACGCATGTAAGGTTTTTTTTTCTTATGAGGAAAATTAAAAAATGAAATTGAGAGATTACCTTTCATCTAAACACAAAATTGGATAATTTCTTAATAAAATTTGTCCATACAAATATCTTGTGTCCAGCACACTAAATGTGCACAAGAAAACAAAAAAATATCGCGTAGTTGATCGTCATTTATAATATACCACAATCTTTCAGACATTCTACTTCAGTTCCCCGTCTGAGGTCTTGTTATGAATAAGCACTCCAGACGTTACTGAGGCCCGTATTATTAACACGGTTAATTGGAAAAATAATACAAGCAAAATAGGTATACTTTAAATTTTGTTAAGAATTACAATTCAATGTAAAAAAAATATATTGAGTTTTATAAATAAGCATATACTAGGGTGCGTTTTGTTAACAATATCATACTGGGGTACTTATTTTTAACAAGATCCCCAACTGTTCCTTTTACCATTAAAAATCTTTCCAAGATTCTATTGCGCCTCTTACAATCATGAACTCTCTCGAACAGTCTCAATCGTTTCTCTCTAAGTCATTGACTTTCTCGGACAGGCTTAATCTTTTCTCTTCAAGACATCAACTCTCTCGGACAGTCTCAATTTTCTCTTTAAAAGACATAGACTCTCTCGAACAGTCTCAATCGTTTCTCTCTAAGACATTGACTTTCTCGAACACTCTCAATCGTTTCTCTTTAAAAGACATCTCGAACATGCAGTCTCAATCGTTCCTCTTCAAGACATTGACTTTCTCGCACAGTCTCAATCGTTTCTCTTTAAGGCATAGAGACGAAGTCTTGATCATTTTTCTTTAACATATAGACTCTCGAAAAGTCCTAATCGTTCCTCTTTGAGACATAGACTCGCTCGAACAATCTCAATCGTTCCTCATTATGACATACACTTTCTCGCACAGTCTCAATCGTTTCTCTTTAAACATAGAATCTCTCGATTGTATTCCGCAACTCGGACGACTGTATATAATTACGATACATCATCAGCAATGGTTATAGCTTACTTTCTTAATGATAATAATGATGAAGAGAAAGTACTTTAAATGACTCAATAACTATTTAATACTCTATGAGCAATATTCTGATGCAATAGATAACAATCATGTATTTTTGTGGAAATTAAGATGTAAATACCATAAAAAAAATTTAGAGTCGCCCCAGCTTCTGGTAAACCAAATCAGAAGAACAATAAGGTACATCAGAACAATAAGGTACAGATAATGATATCCATAATGCACGTAAACTAATGGTGATGGTACTTGCTAATTGATGGTAGGTGGTAATTACTAATTAATGGTGAAGGTAGGCTTTTTTAAAGTATCAAATAAATTTCGGTGTTACAATACCGGTAATGTGAGTGTTCATGAATAATTGAGACGACTCGTTACCATGAGTTGCCAGCTATCAATTGACAAGAAGCGTTGGTCTTCAATGATGACCCGTTATCAGTGTTGCGATATGTGAGGAGCAATGATGACCCGTTATCAGTGATGCGATATGAAAGGTGCAATGATGCCTGTTATCAGTGATGCGATATGGGAGGAGCAATGATGACCCGTTATCAGTGTTGCGATATGTGAGGAGCAATGATGACCCGTTATCAGTGATGCGATATGAAAGGTGCAATGATGACCCGTTATCAGTGTTGAGATATGAGAGGAGCAATGATGACCCGTTATCAGTGATGCGATATGAGAGGAGCAGTGATGACCCGTTTTCATTAGTGAAGGCAAATCTAAAAATGATATCTTAACATGCAAACGAACTTTCAACAAAAAATAATCTCAGCGAATCATGTATGAACTTAACCAATATTATCTCTTGGCCCAATAATCAGCTTAATGTTGCAGATCTATGTTCAGCGCAGGTGCAGGGAATTGCATTATCATGACAAGAAGTTCATGGTCAAGTTATATATATTCATTGGATAGAAAATTACCGTTTATGAAAAGAAACCGGTTACTTCCTTATTAAATTTCTAGTTAATGTCTTAATAATTGAAATATATTTATTAATTAAGTGCCAAGAATGTTCTGCATCCAACTCTTCGATTGCATTATTTGCAACCTGACAGCTTGCACTGATTATGAGTTTTCACATAACTCCCGATAAAAATTTAAACAGATTTATTTTTATCTAATATCACCTTCATATTCATTCTTCATCATCACAACCATCAATACCTTTCATCATCACCGGATATTATTTCGCCCGAGTCACCATCACCATTACCATCACCATCACCACGTCGCGACATCGCGGAAATTTCCCAGGGTTGAGCGGGTAAATTCCTCCCCACCGCTGCTCCCACTCGCCACTCTCCCACTCGCCACTCTCCCACTCGCCACTCTCCCCTCGTCCCTCTCCCACTCGTTACTCTCCCACTCGCCACTCACCCACTCGTCACTCTCCCACTCGTCACTCTCCCACTCGCCACTCTCCCACTCGTCACTCTCCCACTCGTCACTCTCCCACTCGTCACTCTCCCACTCGTCACTCTCGTACTCGTCACTCTCCCCTTTCCTCCACTCATCCCCTCCTAGAGCGCCACGGAGCCGTTATTACGAATATTACGAATATCGTGAATTTCATGAGAATAATTCTGATAATTTTATACATCGGCTCACTTCACAAGATCATCCCGTACTGGAACTGTTTTTTATGATGTTTATGTTGAATATAATCAAGCAGTAATAATTTAGGCCTATTCATGTCAAATTCAACGCACTTGCATATCTCCGCAATGTCACTTTTTAGCCTTTTCGTTCGAGTGCGGAGGCAAGGAAGCTGCAGATAACAACATGTTGAAGATAACCCTTATCGTCACACTATCTCTTATCGTGCAGTCGTCGTAGTACAATTTATTTCGTTCGTGATGGCGGCGTCGAATGTTCTATATGGCAATTATATGTTTTATGGGCAATTTATACGATAAAATTTCATCGTTACCATACCGTAAAGTTTGGCGGTTGCTTGAAAATTTAGTGTCGAGAGAAATCTAGCTTTCATGAAACGAAGCAATGCGGGATTTTGTTAATATTAATTTATTGCGAACGAACGATCCAATGCATGGTATTTATTGAATTATGTATATTAATTTAAGTCTCTCAGTGATCAAAATTAGTTTCTGATCCTTGATAAAATTACAATGTGCCATTAAACAAAAGAAGCAAGCAAAGAATTTGTTGACGGCACCATTTAATTAGTCTCGCGTCTCATCTTTCCATAGGACAAAAAGTAATGTAAGCCACGGTTTTAGATTACTTCTCCTCAAAGAGTCTGGAGAAGAAGTCGCAAAATATTGTACTACGCGTTGAACTTTCAAGTTAAACCTTCA